TAATTTGGGGCTATGAAGTGGCAGGTAAGGTAGAAAAGCACTTCCTCCTATGCCATGTTTTCTGGGTTCCAAGGGTCTGGAAAGTGGTTCCATAGCCTATTACACGGTTGCCAACTCTGGGTTGGGAAATAGCTGTAGATTTGAGGGGTAGAGTCTGGGGAGGGCAGGGTTTGGGGTGGGGAGGGACTTCAGCAGGGTATAATGCCATAGAGTCCACTGCCCAAAGCAGCCATTGTCTCCAGGAGAACTGATCCTGGTCATCTGGAGATTAGTTGTAATAGCTGGGAAATTTTCTGTAGGGGAAATGATGTGCTGTGGCTGAGGAACACGGTGATTTGTTGGAGATCTCCAGGCCCCACAGGGAGATTGGGATATGTATTTTACCTCAAGACTCCCAACAGCAACAGCAAACTTTTTAGAATGTTAGAGGTAAAGGCCAATCAGGCAGCATATGCAAATGACCTCTGTGTTCTGACTGGCTATTGGGGGGAGAGGAAAAGCAAACTGTTTAGAATATTGGATGCGAGACTCAGGCAATGCAGCCAGTGGATAGGGACAGCTTCTGAATGGCAGATCACGGGGCCAAAGGCTGTGGGCGCCGTGTGGAATGTTCAGCAACTTGCCACCACCAAAACAGCTTTATAATATAGGAGAGATGACTCTTTATGTTCCTTTGTCAAGTATGTACTTGCACCTTTTGAGTATTGTTATTTTTGGTGACAGTTGGAGGTGGATATGCATACTTACATTGGGATCAGATCCCATTGATTTATGTGGGGTTTACTTTCAAGAAAGTTTACTCTGGGTTGGAGACTAGTGCACACACTTAGGATCAAGACTCATTGCTTATAGTAGGATTTATTTCTGAGTAAATGTATCAAGTCAAACTATATGTCATATTTCAAAGGAATTTATGAGTATGTTTGATATCAAGACCATAAATTTGTGATTTATGCAGTAACCTGTAATCTCTGATGCAGTAACCGTTAAGTAAATAGAATCTGAAAACCAAATATAGGACTTGCGATAACATCTATCTCTTCTCAAAAAGTAAATAAATGCAAACTCTGTGGTTGAATTATTACTGTAGAATGCTAACAGTTGGTAGTCTGCTCTTTTATATACAATTGCTTATCATGAGACAATAATAGTTTTTTTCCTTTCAACTTTTCTGTAGTATTTCTAGCATGTAAAGCATTTTATCTATTGCATTCTGGAAAAAATCAAAGTTAACATAATCAAAGATACATTTTTTTTTTTTTGGAAAAAAACTTGTTTATGTTTTTCCTGAAGGTTGTTGCAGCATTGCCTGAAAATGTGAGACCTGGTCCAAATCTGTATGGATTCCCATGGGAAATGGTGATATGTTGTGCAGTGGTCGCCCTTTTAATTGTCTTTCTACTAATGTACAGGAGCTATCAGTCAGTAAGTATGCAGTATGACCAATGCAACATTGTACCAGACTGAATAGGTATCCTTTCAAAATGATTTCCAAGATCCTCATTAGAGCATAATTATGCAGCCTGATTTTTATGCTTTATGTCAACTTGGAAATATGTTCTACTAATATATTCAGTGGGGTTTAGGATTTCAGAGAGAGAACGGTGCACATAACCATGGTGGATACATTTCTCCAGTCTTAATATGGAAGAAATGCTATATTTTGACACATTTTGACACGGTATTTGGACATTAGCTTTAAAGAGGCCTTGTGGTGTATTAAAGTACATATAGGGAACCCATTCCAGTATTTTGGTGCTGTGATTAGATTACCAAAGTTAAGTTCTGTGTATTTATTTAAATACTGAGAAGTTGTATTTGAAATCCTCAAGGAAGTATAGGCTCCATTTTAAAAATCAGTTTAAAGAGCTGCTAGATTATACTTGCTAGTACAGCTTTTGCTCTTAGCTTTCCATCTAAATTCTTTTTCAAACTTGCATTTTATCTGTGTCTCCTGAAGTTTTGATTACCCAGTTAGGACATTCTAACCCTTGCATTCCCCCAAGCTCTGGTCCTCCCTGCCCCCTTTAAAGATGTTGCTTGCATTGATGTTTCCTTGTATCCTCAAGAACAGAGTCAGCTGTAATTTATTTGGGATTGTGTGTTTCTAATAACAAGATGACATAAGCCGAGAAACATCTTTGCTTTTCTTATAAACTTAGGCTAGATTTATCTTGCAGCTGTATTTCTGTATTTTGAGGTTCCATTTCTTTTGATATCTTGCAACCACTGTTCCCTCTAAGCTGAGTTAGTGTGAGCTAGCTCACAGTTTTTTAGCCTCCGGCTCAAAGATTTTTGTTTTCGCTCAGGGAGGAGGGCTCCAGAGCAAACTAATTGATGCTGTAGCCAAATTGTGTGCTCACAACTTTAATGCCAGTAGCTCACAAAGTAGAATTTTTGCTCACGAGACTCCACAGCTTAGCGGGAACATTGCTTGCAACTAATATTTCATTGATACTGAATAGTTTATCGTATGCAACATTCTTTCTGTTTTATTTTAATCGCAAATTTTTCTAGCTCTTCCCTAATTAGGAGCTTGTTGTAGGAAAGCCAGGATGTTTAAACATATTGAATGCTTTCCAGAGGAAACATACCAGAATACTATCTTGCAATCCTGATTAATTTGAGGCTATAAATTGAGATTTGTTGTGGGAAGTATCAATAAAGCGGGGAAGTAATACAGAGAATATCTGGTTTGTGTCAGCGGTTAAGGGGGTAATGTTGCTGAATAACAGGGAGCACAGGAAGGATGTGGTGGGAGAACTTTGTGTGTGTGAGTTATTCACAGTGTTCATTCACAAAATGTTTATAACTTGGAGCAGTATGGATTTAACAGTTGGGAGTAGGTGATGGGATTGCATGCCCCTACAGACTAAACAAATTTGTGCCCAGCCACACTTCAGGGATACATTTTGCACTACTGGCCTTAAGGGGAACCAGGTTCCAAGGGAACTGACATATTCCTTGAGCATGATTAAAGGGAGAGAGATTGTAGGGAGGGAAGTTCATAGTTCTCTGACCTTCTTTGGATCTCTTAGCTATGCTAAGAGCCTGATATTAATCTGCTTCAGGCCTGAGAGTCAACTTCAGTTTGTGCTGACTTTGGTATTCAAATCTTGTTTTAAGATTGAAAATTGAGGTTTAATTGTATTCCCTAAGATTGCAATATTTTCTCTTTTTTTGCAGGTTAGAAGTAGACTTTATGTTGGTAAGTTCAACTTTTTTGTTTGTGGGTTGTGTCTAGCTAAAGAATTGAATTGAAATTATTTTCTGCCAATTAAGTTACCACATTCTTCCTTCTTTTTTAGGAAGAGAGAGGCAACTTGCTAGTAAAGTTGCAGAACTTGTTGAAGACAAATGTAAAGTACTTGAAAAGCTTAGCCTCTGCAAAAAAGAGGTAACCTTGACTGCTGTTTTCCTCTGTGCTTAAATGAAAAAAGTTCCTATTATTGCTTCTTCCTAAGATTTCAGATATTATATAATCTAGCCATTCATTGAGTGATCTATTTCTTCATGTACAATGGAGTGTGTCTTTCCTTACACCACCTTTATTCTTGGCATAATCTCATGCTAGAACAGGGGTGAGGCTAGCCTCTGAGTGAATATGGGATTCTAACCAAGTCCCACTTATCTACCTGACTCCACCCATTTTTCTCCTTTGGACTAGTAGTGTCCTGTTGGTACAAAGGTTATGCTGGCAGAAGCCTTGGACTAACTAGTCGTTCAGGCACTATATGGGCATATTGTTTTGCTTTGCCACCACAAGGGGTGTTAGTAAAGATCCTCTCCTGCTCATCTGATATAACTCAAGAATAAACAACGGAACATAACTTATTTGTGGGGATCTCCAACCTTGTCAAGCATGTAGGCACTTTTGGCATTTTGAGAAGAGTTACTGGCTGTCATCAGAAAATGGCTGCTGTATGAGGGGTGCAGCTAAGGTTGCCAACGACACAAAGGAAAATGTCTCACCCTCTTAACAGAGGCTTAATGGAATGTTATTTATCAGGTGATGTTACTTACCTCCATGCCATGAAGAGCTTCACCTGCCTATTTCCACATTTTACGCCTTCA